TCTAATAAGTAGCATACTCAGGTACCATACTAAGGATGACTGACTACTTGTTTGGGCATAGTAATTAATATCTGGACAAAGTGAGTTCCCTTTAAAATACCCCTTTTCCAGGCCTCATTTCTAAAATATATAGAGAATTAAGACAAGTTTATAAGAACACAAGCCATTCCCCAATTGATAAATGTCAAAGGATATGAACAGACAGTTCTCAGATGAAGAAACTAAAGCCATCTATAGTCATATGAAAAAATGCTCTAAATCGTTATTGATTAGAGAAATGCAAATCAAAACAACTCTGAGGTACCACATCACACCTATCAGATTGGCCAACGTGACAAAAAAGGAAAATGATAAATGTTGGAGAGGATGTGGGAAAATTGGAACACTAATACATTGTTGGTGGAGTTGTGAAATGGTCCAACCATTTTGCAGAACAATTTGGAACTATGCCCAAAGGGCTACAAAAATGTGCATACCCTTTGATCCAGCAATAGCACTTCTAAGGCTATATTATATCCCAAAGAGATCAAACAAATGGGAAAAGGACCCACATGTACAAAAATATACATAGCAGCTCTTTTTGTGGTGGCAAAGAATTGGAAATTGAGAGGATGCCCATCAACTGGGGAATGGCTGAGCAAGTTGTGGTATATGAATGTAATGGAATACTATTGTTCTATAAGAAATGATGAACAGCCTGACTTCAGAAAAACCTGGGAAGACTTATATGGTCTGATGCTGAGTGAAGTGAGCAGAACCAAGAGGACTTTGTACACAATAACAGCCATGTTATACAATGACTAAGATTGTTAGACTGAACCTTTCTCAGCATTATGAGGACCTAAGACATCTCCAGAGGCCTTGGGATGGATAATGCTGTTCACATTCAAAGAAAGAACTATGGAAGTCGAATGCCATCACTTATTTTTACCTTCTGTTGAGTTTTGTTTCCTCTTTCTGATGGTTCCTCATATTGGTTTTAATTTTTACTTACAACTTCACTAATGTGAAAATATGTTTAATGGGTATGTAAATGTAAAGCCTATATCAGATTGTGCACCGTCTTGGGGAGGGTGGGGGGGAGGAAAAGGGAGAAAAATTTTCAACTCAAAAGCATATGGAAAAAATAAAAAAATTTAAATAAAAATAAATAAAAATAAAAAAATAAAATTCCCCTTTCCCATCTGCCACCTCATGAGGATTCTTACACGTTCCTCATTTATTACATATAAGAAGAAATAATATGGTATTCATTAAAGCTATTCTCTCAAAAAAGAATCAACAGTCTAATCTGGAAACAACTCATAATTTGCCCAGTTCAGACTAACTCAACAGTTCCTTTTACTGAGCAATCCCCATTTTCTCCTAAGGTCATACAGATATGTAACTCCTTGGATTCAAACCCAAATGGGCAGGCTTCAAGCAAGACTTACCTCATACCAAGAGGGAAAGGAAACAAGTACATTTTCATTGTGTCAGGCACCGCACTAAGCATTTTCCAAATGCTATCTCATTTGATCTTCACAACAACACGGACCCCATTTTACATGTGCGGAAATTGAGGTAGAGAGAGAATAAATTACTTGCCCAAAGTTATGTATCTGGTAATTGTTGCTCTGTATTTCAAAATTTCACGTAACTATCCTTTGCTCTCCCAGCCCTACTTGTAAAGCCTTAGTCTAGACCCTCGTCATTTCATCTTATACTGATACAAACTCCTCTTAAACAGATTCCTCATTCCACTTCAATCAACACTTAATTTTGCTTCCACCCTTATATTTTTGGCAGCATCATCCACCTCCTGCAAATGATTTCTCATAAAACCACAAATGAAGTCTAGCATCCTCACCAAAGGGTTTCAACAGACTACCTCTCTTCTCTTATCTCTTCCTAACCCTTCCACAATTCTCCAGCAAACCTGCTGAAATCTCTTCATCCAACCACCATATCTCTAAGTCTCATAGCAAGACTTTTCCCTTCTCCAAACCTAACAAAGTATCTCCCTTAAAATCATTTTTTCTCTGATTCAACTTAAGAAGCCTTCACAAAAGAGATGGGATTTAATAAGGTATTTCACTGGTACAAGAGAGATGACTTGGAAGAAGATATTTTAAGCACATGAAACAACTTGAGAAAGACAGAAGAGGCAGAAAACCAAATAAAATGTAGTTTCAGTAGGTGAGCCTCCAAGTAGATAGAGTAGAATCTAGAAAATGAAACAAGGGAAAAGATGCAATCTAAAATATAATAATAATAGCTGCCATTTAGCAATTTTGCAAAGATTTTATATATATATATATATATATATATATTTTTTTATATATATATATATTATATATGTATATAAAGTCTCATCAGCAATGACTATTTCAGAACCACATGTAAATAAGGAATAAAAACTTCATAATAAATGTAGCATGTGTGGGTATATGTATTTATGTATGTGTGTATACAGATATATATGTTGGCTAAAAAAGTCATTAATTTTTTTTACAGTAATATACTGGACATGAAAATTACTTCAAGTTTAGAACACATATATTTTGAGAACTATCTCAGTACACCTTTATGTATTCTTCATGCTGTTTGTTATGAAAAACAATATTTATAAAGACAAGGGCAGTGATATTGTTAATGTAGAATTACTTTTAAAAATACCATAGCTTCTAAATATAAGACCCAAAATTTTTATTTATAATTTGACCATTTTACAAACATATATACTGCAAAACACCTCATCTAGACAGTTATGCTCTTGAGAAGGAGACTTTTTCTCTGAGGTTAACCCCAAAGTACTTGGTACTGTGTTAAGCACACAGTAGATAGTCATGTATATGTAATCAATGACATATATTTGCTGCTCCTCAAATAAGTTTAGAGAATTAGAATAATGAACAAGCAGTTACCTTAAGCACTATTCTAGAAATCAGCTTATTTTATGATGCATATAGTTGCTTTTTATAATAAAGATCTACTAAACCTTCTTCAGAATCTGTGCCTATATCACTTCACTACAAACCATTTCTAAAAATTTATTAGATGTAATAACTTACATTTATATAGCTCAGTAAAGATTTGTAAAGCACTTCATGTACATTATCTCATTTAATATTCACAACAACCTATGAGTTAAATATTAGGTCACTATTATTCCCATTTCACAGATGAGAAAAGCAACATTCCGAGAAGTTAACTTGCCCATGGTCACACAACTATTAAGTATCAGAAGCAAAGCTCGAGCCCAAGTCTCTCCTGACACCAATTCAAGAGCCATTTCCTCTGTACCACCAGCCTCTCCATATTCCCTTCAAGCACACTGCCATAAGCCAAGATAGGAATAAATGAGAGATTCTTTGGTCACCCTTTACCTTGATATATCTTTATGTCTAAGTATGTATATAAATATAGAATATATACAGAAACTTTTTGTGTCTAAAAAAGATCCTTTATTAATAAAACATTAGAAATACTGGTAACTAAAATAAGCAAAGAAGGCTATTTTTTTTTTGGTGAAGCAACTGGAGTCAAGTGACTTGCGCAGAGTCACATACCTAATAAGTGTTATGTGTCTGAGGCGGATTTGAACTCAGGTCCTCCTAGCTCTAGGGCCGGTGCTCTATCTACTGTGCCACCTAGCTGCCCCAAAGAAGGTTAGTCTTAAAAAGAGATCATGTCATGCTAATAAAGGCAATTCTAGGATTCTAGCCAAAAATCAAAAATCAAGCAGCTGCCTAGTTAGCCAGGTTTTGTTTTTGATTTTTTAATGAAAAGTTCTTAGAAACTGATAATGAAAATTTGTCTGCTCTATGAATAAGATTTCATAAAGCTCTATATGCATTCATAAAATAATAAGAAATGTAATGACAAATTAATATATGTGTATGCATAAACACATAAACAAGGTATACATATGTTAGCATGGAGCAGAGGTAGAGAGCCAGGAAGACCTGAGTTCAAGTTCTGCCACTAACACATACTGGTTGTGTAAGCGTAGGCAAGTCACCTCTCATTGTTCTAGGCAATTCTCTAACAAGGCTGAAGTGTCGAACAGAGAAAAATGGGGGCTACTAAAACTTAGATAAGGATCTCTGCAGGGATATATTGACTTTAAAAAAATACATATTAACATGTTTTACTGTAGTTTTATTTATCTAGTTAATTATTTCCCAATTACATTTTATTCTGGTTCCAGAAACACTCAGGAAAGTCTAATGCTTCTTCAGAGAACATGCCAACCTGCATTAGCAGGGGGAGTTTCCTTAATAAAAGCTCCTTGTAACATTGAAATCACAGCTCTAAGCAAATATACAAAACCTTCATAAAGACCTTGTGAAAATTTTACGGCATAGTAAACTACAGATATGGAAATGTTCTATAAACTGTATTTAAAGGCAAACAGAATTTTCTCCTCATAGTTGAAAAGGACTTAAATTCTGCTAGTTACACAATATAGTTTATCTTCTCAATCGAATTCAAGAAACATTTATTAAGCATTGCGCTAGGCACTAAGGGAACACAGATGAAAACTAATACAAACCTTAGCCTACAGGGTCTTCTTTGAGGAAAGCATTTTTTAAAACTTTTGTCAGCTCTGAAATAAGTATACAACTGCAGAACTATGCCATTTGTCCTAAACTTTAATAAAATTTCTTTTAAACACCATTTGCTGTTTCTTTTTGTCATATCTAAAATCTAAATTATTAAAATTCAAAACTTCATAAAAACTTTAGGAAGACCCTGCATAAGCAAGCCAATTTTCTAAAGAGTTCAAAATATAGTTCACGGGACTCAGGGCCCTTAATGGTCATCTAGTCCAACTCCCTTATTTTATAGATGAGAAACCTGAAGCCCAGCCCAGCAGTCAGCATTCAAACCTGGGTCTCCAAAATGCAGGGCTCTTTCTATGAAACATGTTGTTAGAAAAAAAAATTGCCAATTGGACAGTATGTGTGACACAGACCACAACCAACATTCAATAAGCATCAGTCACTGTAAAATACCTTGCAAATTATGAAATTCAGGTACAGCACAGTCTTTTTTACTAGCACTTGTAATCCCAGGAGGCTTACTTAAATCCAATTCACATTTGGCAATCAGATTCAGAACAGCTTCATCTTCTGCATCCATGACTGAACACTTCTTTGTTAGGGAGTCAATGTATTTTGTTCTGGAATGTCGATCTCTACCAAAGAAAGCAAAATTGTTCATTATAACTTTATATCAGCACTAGATGGTACACTGGACCTGGAGTTAGAAGATTCATCTTCCTGAGTTCAAATCTGGTCTCAGACACTTACTAGCTGTGTGACTCTGGGTAAGTCACTTCATCCTGTTTGCCTTAGTTCCTCTTCTGTAAAATGAGCTGGAGAAGAAAATGGCATATCACTCCAGTATCTTGCCCAAGAAAACCCCAAATGTGGTCATAAAGAGTCGGACACAAATGAAACAACTGAACAACAACAACAATCAGCACTATTCTCTACAGCAGTGGTATCAGATACCTGCTGCAACACCCTAGAGTGAAGTCCAAACCAGATTAAAATGTAATTGGGAAATATTTAACAAAATAAATAAAAAGTACAATATAATGCATATGCTATTATGAAGTTTTCTAAGTCACTATGTAGTTGCACGGATCCTTATGTAGGGCTTAGTGGCTCTGTTTTCTATTTGAGTTTGACACCACTGTTCTATAGGATAAAGATACTGGCTAGGTAGGATTTTTAAACAAATAAATAAACAAGTAAGTACATAAAATTAATATCATATTGCTCATTTTCTCAACAGGTGGAGGAGGGGCTAAAGAGAGGGAGAGAATTTGGAGCTCAAAATTTTAAAAACATTATTGTTAAAAATAAATAGGATTTTTATTACTACTGTTATTATCTAGTATTAATTTGAAAAACTTTCTCTTTGCATAGTTGACTCAGTTTCATTGGTAAAAAAGAAGATTAGATTATATGGTCCTCCAAGTTATCTTCTAAATTCTATTGTTATTTACTTTGTTATTCTTAAGCACAGGAAAATCTAAAGACATTAAAAGTGTAGGAATTTGATTTACACTAAGTTCACACAAAACAAAGTTGACAGCTTATAAAATGCTCTCCTCAAAGCACTCTTTTGTAGTATTATTATTCCTATTTTACAGAAAATGAAATATTCAGTCCATGGTCACTCAGTTGAAGCCAGGGTTCAAACACCAATCTCCCCTGATTCCAAGTTCAGTACTACTTACACTATACCAAGATGCCAACTGTATGAACTTCCAACCAGACAAAAGTAACCTAAAAAGCATTAGATAGGGCACTGCCAAAAGACATAATCATCCCTGCCTGCTAGGACATTTTAAATGTACTACCTTCCATCATTAAAGAAACTGCTGATATGAAAAAAGATAATAATAACATCCACTTCACAGAGTTATGGTGAGGATCAAATGAGACAACACATGTAAAACACTTTCCAAACCTTAGAGTGCTATATAAATGTTATTACTCCTAGCATTATTAAACCCTTTAATCAAGTGAATTTTGCTTCTACTTTGTTTTTAACAAAAATAATGCTTTGGCAGTTTGATGGGCATAGCATCAAATATGTAAATAAATTTAGGCAATATCATTATTTTTATCACATTGGCTCTACCCAACAGTGAACTAATAATATCTTTCCAATTGTTTCAGTCTTCCATTATTTTTATATACTGTACAATATTTTGTATATATTTAACATTTGTTTAATATTCCTCATTGAAGTATCTTGGTAAACATGGTACTCAAACACTTCATGCATTTTGCAGCTATTTTCAATGGAATTTTTCTTTTTCTGGTTTCTTGATGCTTTTTTAAAAAATTACTTCATTAAAAATACTCATAACTTTGGTGATTTTCATAGAGTTGCAAAATTTGAGAGAAGGATCTCAGCAATTATCTAATATAATCCATTCACAAAAGGAATTCCCACTTCAATATAAGACCTCTGAGAGGTAACCTCCTGCATCTGAAAGAACCTTATTTCATTTCTGGACAACTCTAATTCCTAATGTTAAGCCCAAATTGGCCTCTTGCACCTTCTACCCACTGTTCCTGGTTCTGCCCTCTTGGCATAAATGAAACAAGTTTAGTGCCTCCTCCATTTGAAGTCAGTTAACATGTCCCTGTGAGACTTCTCTTCTCCAAGTTCATTCTACTAATCCTCATGTTATGAACAGAAGGCTCTTCAGAATTCTAGTAGCCCTTCTCTGACACTTTATAGCTTATGAATATCCTTAAACAGTAGCGCCCAGAACTGAACACAATTGAACAAAATACTCCAAAAGAGGGAGGTCTGACAAGGACTGAGTACAATGAGACTATCACTTCCCTCTTGGTGGAAGTTATGCAATCCAAATAATCATATAAACAGCAAAAACCAATAAAAAAAAATTTATGCATATATTGTATTTTTTAATACACATAGACACATAAGGATATATTGGGGGGAGGGGGTGTATTTGTGTGTATATGTCTCCGTAGACACAGAAAAGGCCTTTGACAAAATATAGGAGTTTATTTTTAAAATGATGAAATACATGGGCATAGAAGGAACCTTCTTTAATGTGATCAGAAGTATTTGAGAAATTTGAATATACAATTATATTAATTGCTTTGCTAATGTTGCAATATCCTTGCATCTCTGTTAAAAATCTAACTTGGTGATGGTAAAAAAAACCCGTTGGCTATATTACCATAGTTCTCTTTGCAAACATTTCATTTAAAATATTTTTGCATTGACATTCATTAGTCAAAATTGTCTACAATTTTGTTTCTTTGCTTTATGCCTGTCTGGTTTGTGTATCAGCATAATATTTGTCTTATAAAAAAGAGTCTAGTAGAGTGACTTTTTCTCCAACTTAAAAGTAATTTTATAGTTTTGGTATTAATTGCTCTTTAAAGATTTGATAGAATTAACTTGGACTAAGAGTATGTGCTTTGTTTTTTTGGTCTTTTTCCAAAATTGGGTTAAGATTTCATTTCTCATTTTGTTATTTTGAGTACTTTATATTTTTGTAGACACTAATCTTGTGTTTCAGCATATTTGTCTTATAAACAGGAGTTTATTAGAGTGCTTCTGGTAATTCTTTTTATTTTCTATTATGTATTTGTAGGTATGTATATATACATATACATACATATACACATACAGACACACACACATGTAAATTTTTGCATTTTTATTTGAGCAATTTGCTTTTCCCCTCTCCCCTTTTTTAGCTGAATTTACTAAAGGTCTATCAATTTTGTTAGATCTTTAAAAAGCAGCTCTTAGTTTTATCATTTCAAATCTTTTAATTTTCAATTTTATCTATTTTTTTAAATTTCTAGATTTGATCTTTGTACTTCTTTTTAAGTTAATCTTTCTAAGTTTCAAAATTGAACAATCATATTACTAATGCTCTTTTTATATTTTGTTAATGTTTTCAGAGATAGTTTTGTCTCTACAGACTTCTGCTACATTTTGGAATGTTGTCTCGTAGTCATTTTCTTTAATGTTATTCGTTAATCCTATAATTCATTCCTTGATGCATTCATTATTCAAGATGTCATTAGTCTTTATTTAGTTATATATCTTGCTTATGTTCCCTATATTAATCACTATTTTAATTTTAGTATGATTTGTAAAAGATTAGTATATCTGCCTTTTTTTATATTTATATATTTCTAATACATGATCAATTTTTGTAAAGGTACCTTGTAATTCTGAGAAACATTTACACTCTTTGCTATTCCCACCCAGATGATACCATAAATCTTTTGAATCTAGTTTTTCAAATGTTTGTTTTCCATTTTTGTTCATGTCTGTTAGATTTACCTAATTCTGAAGGAGGAACATTAAGTGCTTCTATAATTCCTATGCTAGAATCTGTCTTTGTAATTTGGTTTTTCCTTTAAAAATTTATACACTGAATTATTTTGTGCATATATGTGTGTGTGTATTTGTGTATCGTTTCACTGTCTGTGGTGCCTTTAAATATTATGTAGTTTCCCTGTTTTTTTGCTTGACACCGTCTGACTGAAATCATGACAACACCTGCTTTTTGTAATCACTTAATGTTACCATTTATAAAGCTCTTTAAGGTTTGCAAAGCACTTTACACATTTAATCTCATTTGATCTTCACAACAACCCTGTAAGGTAGATGCTCTCTTTATTCCCATTTTACAGACAAAGAAACTGAGTCAGAAGTTAAGACCTCATATGTAGTAAATTTTGTTTCAACCCCTCAATGTCACTCAAAATATATCTTAGTTTTCATGTGTTTCATGTATGTAAGAGATTCTTTTCTAAAAAAATCCATTCTGCCATTTTCTTTTGTTTCAAAGAGGAACATTTAAAGTTATATTTACAGACTTGTTTCCTTCTCATTAATTCTTTTGTACTGATTTTTCCCCTCCACCTTCATTAAGCTGATTTAGTTTGATCAGCTTTGCTTACACAAATTTCTTCCCAGTTTCTCTCATCTCCTGTTACCATGCTCTACCCTAAGTTCTATGAGTTTAATTATTATTCTTTTTCACCATTTTTCCCTTCCCTTCTCCAGCCCAAATAAGAGTTTAGTTCAGGATCTACCCTATCCCATTCCTATCCACTCTAACTTGAGTAATGTACTTAAATTAAATTAAATTTAAGGCACCTTTTCCCAAGAAAGATTAATTTACTTTCTCTCTATACTCATTTCCTTTTCTTTCTAGACTATTCTGAAATTTAATCTACTATTCATATACTTTATGCTTATGTTTTGTTTATTCCCTCTATGTCCTTCATACAAAGTAGGTTTTCTGAAAGACAAAAACTTTGTTCACTTTCTGTACAGTTTATTAATATGACTGCCTATCCCATTTGTTCCTCTCTTTCCCTTCTCCCAGGAAGGAATATGATTCTAAGAAGGCTAATAATACTTAAGCACTCCTTCTGAAACTCAAAACGGGGACCTTACCACTTCATCTCCTCAACTTTCTTGCAAGGATATCTCCATAATCCCCTATAATTATCCCTCCTAGTGAAGGACACAGCTTCTTTTCCCTCACTATATTCTTGTCCACATACACTGCTTTCCCTTACTCTCCTGCATCCCTAGAGGCATTTTAAGGGACCAAAAACACTTCACTTCTCCTGTCTAATCAAGGCAAGGTAGGAGCTCCTCTCTGCGCCCCTATGCCCTCTGCAATATTGATTTGCTCATGAGGAAAAGTGGGTTTTTAGCCCATATAACATTAATTTGATTGCTCTTCCCTGCCCTCAACTCCTTAGGAATTTTTTGTCCCTAGATATTTTCTCTTTAATCTCAACCCAAAGTTAAAGGGTTTTTGTTTGTTTGTTTAAATAGCCTCATCTTCACCAAGATGCATAAAGGCATTAATTTCACCACTTAACCTTTTTGTTAACAGTAGCATTCCCTCATTTTTTTTAAGTGTTTACATGTTAAATACTGTCCTCACCTCTTATTTCTTTTAAAGGAATGACTCAGGGTCCTTTTCGTTTAAAGTACACACTTTATCATTAATGATTAGGTTTGGCTGTGCAGGATGCGTTGTTTTAGGGAGCAATGATACTCCTTTTTATTTGATTCCTTATGGGCAAGGAATGTTTCTAAGTTACTCAAATTTGTATATGATAGCTGAATGCCTCTCTTTGCTTGTTGTGGGGTTTGATATTAAAATTCTTGAGGTTACCCATTACATTTCTTTGTGATTTAGGTAGGGGTTTCTCTCAGTAAATGATCTGTGAATTTAAACATTGCAACTTATGCTCTGTTTTCACTGCCACTGTGCAATTTTCTTGTATTTAGGTCATTTAATTCACCGTGACTTTCTGAGAGCTAATATTTTTAAACTATATTCATTTTTTTGGTCATTTTACCTTTTAAAGAAATAGTGTTCTTACTATGTTGTCACATAATTTAGTTCAGTTGCAAATTTTATTTTACCCTGTATTTGAGTTCCATATCAGCAATTCACTTTTTTGGAGTTTCTATTTTGAAGTTCTTCGTTGTATGTTCTAATTTTTTATTCTAGTTTTCCTAACTGACTTCTTTTTTGAATTTGATTTCCCTTGTAAATTTTGCCCTAAGTTCTACTCTTATTTCTCCTTTTTTAAGGCATTCTAACATTCTTTGCTGTTATAGTTCCATTTTTTTTTCTGTGGGTACTGCGTAATTTATTGTCTCAATGGTCATTTTTTGGCCGCTTCCTTTTATAGAAACATATTTATTCATTATGTTCTAACTTTCTGGATTTTTTGCTCATTGTTCCTTCTTTCTCCATAATTCTCATTGCTAATTTTTCTCCCTGGGGGGTTCGGCAGTTCCAGGTAACATTGTTTCTCAACGCTTTGGTTCCTCCCCACAAGCTGCCACTGGTTTTCTTCCATTCTGACTATGGAAGACTTCCTTGGAAAGGGAGTCCTCAATTACCTCCGTAAGTATTTTGTGAGGGAGAATATCTGACTACATCCTTATCAAGTGGAAACTTTATAAAGAGGTGACTACAATGGGGTTACGCTCTCTCTTTTCCTTGGGGGAGCCTCTCTTGCTGACATATTAATGATGTGTGTTCCCTATTTCATCCCACCTTAAGCCCTCGTTGCTTGAATTCCCTATCACGAGGCTGGGCAAATTCAAAGCTCTCCTTTGTCAAGGTGGATTGTGGAGTAAGAATGAACCCCTGTCAAGAGAGCAGGCAGCCAAAGCTGTCATCAGTTGGTCATGCTGGCTATGGAGGAATAGGCCATTCTTGTGGCCCTCCTCTATTATTTCATTGTGAAGAACAATAAAACTGTACATGGTATTTACCTCGGGAGGTGATATTTCCTATCTTTTCTTATTACTTATTACATGCTATTTTTATTGTAATTTTAATGATTATATAAGCACATTTCTTCTTGTGAAGTGGTAGCAGTTTTTCTAAGAAGGAGTCACTCACTCTGCCACTACCAGAAGGTTTGTTGTTATTGTTGTTACTGTTGTTATTATTATCATCATCATTACTAGTGTCTAAAACATTGCTTGCTTCTAGTCCCAGCTTAGCAAAGTCACTTTGATTCTTTGGGCCAGATTGTCTTCAACTGTAAAAGATTATTGCCAATGTCTCTCCCAGATTTAAATTCAATGACTGACAATATAATTCATCCAGGGATTCCTAAGTATAGGAAAAAGCTGAGTTAGCTAATAATAATTAGGTTTCGGGCAGCTACATGGCGCAGTGTATAGACCACTGGCCCTGAAGTCAGGAGGACCAGAGTTGAAATCCGGCCTCAGACCAACCACTTGACACTTACTAGCTGTGTGACCCTGGGCAAGTCACTTAACCCCAAATACCAATAATAATAATAATAATAATAATAATAATATAATAATAATAAGGTTTTAACCTTATCAACCAAAAATCTTTAATAATCAACTTGGCTATATAACCCACAGCATAAGGATAATAAACGTTCATAAGAATGACCATGATGTTCCTTCTAATTCATCAAAAAGTAAGTACACTCAGCAGTTTTAGTTTTAGCAGTATTTTACTGTATTCTATTTTGGAGACTGGAAATCTGTGCACAGAATATAAAGAAAATATTACTGAGAATTAATCTGATTATTTCTTAACCATTCTGATAAACAGAGGTTATGTTTCCTGCTAAGGGATACTACTACAATAAAAGCAATCCCAAAACTCTTGTTTAGATTCCTCTATATATTAGGATTCTCCATAGGTGGAAAAAGCATTCATCACAGATTCCCATCTCAACCCAGAAACACAAAATTACAGTCAGAATTTACCTTACGGGTCTATTCTAGTTTTTAATCCCTGAGCTACGGCCTTTGTTTAATGTGGTACTAAGTAGGCACTCCTTCATAAGCATCTTGTTTCATTAATCCTTATATTGAGCTAAAATTGGAGCCTCTTTGTCATTTCTATATTAGTCCTAATTATGTTTGCTATCTGAGGCAATCTACTTTTGTCATTTTTGTGTTGTATCGCCAGTACCTAATACGTATCAGGCACTTAATAAAGGCTTATTGAACATGATATCCTTTCAAATATTTGAAAGCAGCCATCATTTCTTCCTTTCAGTCCTCTATTCCCAAGAATAAGCATCCTTAGTTCCTTCAATCAATCTTTATATAAAATGGTGCCCTCTCTTCATTATCCTTTCTGTACATACTCTCATTTGTCAGTGTCCCTCAAAGTGTGATGACTGGAATTTAACACAATAATCTAGGTATACACTCTAACCAATACAGAGTAGAAAAGAATTATTATTTTAGTATTAAAATATAATTCTGAGATATTATAACCTTTAAATTGGCAGCTAGCTTTAAAAAAAAGATATGGATATTGCAGTTGTGATATAGTACTGTATTTTTGAAAAATACAGCAAAATAAAATTATAAAATGAAAATTCCCTAAAAGTAGAAATTTGTTTCACTTTTTGTACTAGCATCCACAGCTCCCAGCACAGTGCCTGGCACATGGTAGGTGTTAAATGCTTACTAAATTGAGTGATACAATAACAGTTATTGTAAAACTGCTCATATTCTTTAACCTAATGATCACGCACAACTAGGATTAATGAGGGTGTTACTGAAAGGAAACAAAAATTTACTGGTGTAAAACATCCATAGTTATTCATAATAATAAAAGACTGGAAATAATTGACATATCTAACAAGTGAGAATGACAAACAGCTTATGAAAACAAATTAGCTACTACTAAGGCAAAAGAAATGACAAATCTAATATATATATGTATATATATACATATAACTATGGAAAAATTTATTATTAATTGATGCATAGTGAAGAATCAGAACATATACATATACACATGATTTCAACTACATAAAAATAATAACAGCAACATTTTTCAAAACACAGGAATTCAGGATGGAACACAGGAGAAAATTATCTTCTATAATTAGTGTAGTTTGGGGATTTTTTTAACTTTTTATTTGAAAATTTAGTTTTGAAAATAGTAATCAAGCTTTGAATAAATTTTTAAAGCATTTTAAAGACAGTGTGCTGTACTGCTAATACAGCCTAAAATTCTATTATTGTAGTCTACATCTATGGATCTAGAACAATGGTGGAAGATATTTTTCATGTGAACTTTTAGCAAGGGCCCAACCCTCGTAAATCAGAAAGGGTTTTGCAATGCCATAAAGGTATATAAAGTCCAGTAGCAACAAATTACTTCTATTCAATGATAGTCAAAAATACTACTTTAAAATAATAAAAGTGCATTACCTTTAGTCATTCTATAATTTGGACTTTCTAATGTCATTCCATGAATTAAGGAAAAAATTATTTGAGATGCCAATATCTTTCGGAGAGCCTTCATTAAAAATATATATTCAGCAGATTGAAGCATATTTTTTACCTCTTTCTTGCTTTTTTATGAACATGGCTAACATGGAAATGTTTTGTTTTCATATATATGTACATACATACATGTATACACACACATAAATGAGTATCACATTGCTTGCCTTCTCAATGAGTAAGAAAGGAGCTGGAGGGAGAATTTGGATAGCAAAGTAAAAAAATGAATGTTAAAAAAGAAATATAATTTTTAAAAAATATTATGTACTCATTTAACATTTTTAACTTGGGTCTAAATTTTTCTAATGTTTCCAAACTTAATTTTCTGAATATTCAAATGTTATTTCTGTTCATACCTTTCTGCTTTGTTTTTCAGTGAATTTGAAGAAATCTGTTTTGATTCAAATGTTTCTTCCATAGAAAAATGTGAAAGAGATGCTTTTCGTTCACTCTCTCTCACTAAACGATTATCTGGGGGAGAAAAATCCACACAATCAAATTATAAAGTTAATGAAAACAAATATATCCAAAATTGTTATATAAAAGGTAGTTTGGTAGGGAGGGCCCTGTTGAGGGGATCAAAAAAGGCTTCATGAATAAGCTTGAGTTACACTTAACGGAAAAAGAGGAGCTCTACCAGGGTGGGGAATCTGTGACCTGGAGGCCACATGTGGACTTGTAGGTCCTCAGGTGCAGCTTTTTGACCGAGTCCAAGTTTTACAGAACAAGTCCTTTTATTAAGGGGATTTGTTCTGTGAAATTTGGATCCAGTCAAAGGACTGCACTTGAAGACCTAGAGGCCACAGGTTCCCCACCCCTGCTCTACACTATAAAGCAGAGGTAAGGAAGGAACGCATTTCAGGCATGTGAGACAGTCAGTGCCAAGGCACTGAGACAGAAGATGTAGTGGCATGTATAAAAAAACCGAGAGGCCAGTTTGACTGGATCACAGAGAGAAAGAGAGTAGAAAGTAGAGTAATGTCTAATGAGGCTGGAGAGATAGATTAAAGTCTGGCTGTGTAGGGCTTTAAAAGATGAGTAGTCAGAGGAAATAAGGAATTCTTCCTAATTCCAGCTACCATACCCCAGCTAGAATAACATATCCAAGAGCTGAGGGGAGAGTTCAACAGTTCTTTTAAAGATCTGGAATATTAACAATGTGGATAACTTTATTCAAGTCTAATTTATGGAATGTGGAAGTAGTAGGAATAAAATGGAGATTCTGAGAAACCAAGTCTCCAGGTATCTAGTATACCCTCTCACTTTTACTAAAGAAATGAGTTGATATCTATCATGATGGAACCTATGTAGAACAAACCTAGGTCTAATTAATTTAACAAATATCAAAATCTTTTGCAAGCATTTTGACCCTCCCAATATTGTAAGTAACATAGCATTGCTTTCCTTACTTTAAGTGGAAAAACTAGGCCAAAAACATTACATCTTATCTTTCTGACTCATACTTCTATAGCAATTTCTATAGCAGATAGGGATGACTTTTAAGGCCTATGGTCAATTCCATTTTTTAATTAAATGCTAATTAAGGTTTTTCTTACAGAAGATCTCATATAGCATGTACTATAAATAAAGCAATATTTTTTCATTTATTTTGAAATATTTTAGTTCAAAAAAGAAAACTGTCTCTTTTCTTCTTGAATTTCACCAGTCTCTTCATACTACATTCTGCACAAGGTAATTGTGAGAAATGTACATTATATACTTTAAAGAATTTTCTTAGTTATTACTTCTTCTAAGTATGGGGGGAAAAAAGAAAATTTTGATCTGCCAGGGTTTTACTAGGCACTATGTGAATGAATTAATTACTGAAATATTTAAATTACTTTTGTTAAACAATTCAAAAAGTGAGTTTTACTCACTACTACCAAATCAAGGTCAAGGTCATGGGACCACTCTCCATATAGTTCAGTCAGATGTCCATTCTTACATATCCATGCCACAAAGAAACATGGATGAATACAATGGTCCAAATAGGGAGATAAAAGTAAATTCATTACCACAACTGAAAAAAAAAATACAAATCTGAATTTATTAATACCATCACCTTCACATAAAAAATAAAATATTATTATTCCATTTTTATATAGTATAATCATTTAGAAAAAAATTTAAATCTTTGATGAATATTGTTTGTCCTACCTAACTGTCTAAGTCTTGGAATTATATACACAAGAAAAAGACGATAATCAGGCTCATTCTTAGCTACAGGATTCAGTCGCAAGTCCACATCTTTTAGTACAGTTAACTGATGAAGCCGAAATACTTCTGTTAGTGAGGAAATATTATTGTAGTACAGATTGAGATTTTCTAATAATGTTAAGTATTCAATACCCTGTTAACAGAAAAAAAAAAGAAAGCAAAATCAGTTCATACTCTTTAAAAGTACTCCAATAAAGACATTTGCAAGTTGTAAATAAGTAAAAGATCACTAACACAAAGACTTCCACATAAAAATAAAAACTACACCTATTGAAACAGAAAGCCATTGCCAGAATGGGATTAAAGACAAAATGCTATCTTTGTCATATGGTGAATATCCAAGGAAGGGCTTTGATACAATAATGTGATATTAGGAAATTCAGTGTCACAGTCCTCATTTTTAAAAGCAGTCATCTTGTTTTCAATGTTTGTTTAAATATTTCTACAAATCTTCTTATGAATATAAAATTAGGGATAAGTTTCTTAATATTTTAATCTTGTATACAATAAAAGTAAAATTAATTCATTTTTTCATCTAAGACCTTTTCTTTAAGACATATGATCTCAATTAATGAGAACTCCAGTTTTGTTACTCCAAAACAGAGAATATTATTTCAGAATTTAAGACAGAAATACAGTACAAAATAAATACAGGGAATACAACTGTTTATTTGTAAAGGAAATTATGTTCTTAAACAATGTTGTTTTCTGCTACTTTAATCTGAATAGTAATAAAGTTTCTTTCAAATGAAAACAAACCAAAAATTTACCTCTAGACAAACCAATGAATTGCGTGAGAGATCTAGACACTTTAAACAAGTTAAATTCTTCAAAGAATTTCCTAGATGAGTAATCTTTTCTTGGTAAGTTCCAGGAATAGATAGTGACTGAAGTATACCTAAGAATAGAAAATTTTAAGATTATTTACTCTGCCCTAAACCAAACCTAAACTAAACCAAAATGTTGAGTACACTGAAGTATTCCACTGAAAGATCCATGCTATTGATGACATGGAGACTCTTCCCAGTGGTGCAGACAATGACGGACTTACACCTTACCATCCTGTGTGCTTCTTAAAGAATCTTAAAGAACTTTTAAGAGGCTTAACCCAAAACAGTTTCTGGTTATATCTATGGATATCACAACTGAGAAATCACAACACAACAGTGCACTGACATTGAAGATGATCGAACAAGAGTGAAGGAGCACTACAAAAAAAGTAATATTTTTATTTGGCTTTAGAATGTATCATATGACTTTTTAGCAATACCTTTCTAAAAGGTGTTTAATATAAGATTTGTATTTGACAAAAAAACCAAAATAATGGTAAAATGAGTCTGCCCAGCTACCAAAGGGAAACCTAGAACTAAAAATGGGTAACAGCAGCAATTTTTAGATTGATATCCAGGCAAATTCTTTATAAAATATTTCCATCCTCATTCTCTCTGCCCTCTCAGCCGCTTTGTACCCTATTGCCCCTACCTCATCCTAAGCAGCCTCTCTTCTCTTGGCTGCTATGACAATGTTCTCTCCTGGTTCTTCTACCTGTCTAACCCTCCTTTTCAAACTCCTTTGCTGTATCATCATCCATCTGCCTCCCCCTAAGCAAGAGTGTAACAAAGAGGATATTTCCAACCATTGAGTCAGGAAAGCCAGAAACACATCTCCCTAGCTATCTAATCCCTATGATCCTATTCCCTTCTTCATCTCAACTCACTATTACAAGACATTGATATAGCACGGATTGCCCTCTTTCACATGTATATTACTGCTAAACAACTTTACTACATATCACAAATGGATGATAAATTTATCCAAGATATGGAGATAAAAGATGTTATGATGGTCTCAGAACTTGCCAGATTTTCACCCCTGTAAAAACCTGCTGGCTATAACCAAGGCTAGATTTGGAAAAATAGACTACTAAAGGTATCCAATATGATAAAACTAAGGTTTCACAATGAATAAAACCATGTGTCAAAATGTTATGAACTCCATGCAAAGTCATATAAAACAAGTAAATGGAACAAAAGGACATATTGCATCCTAAACATTTTTAAAGATGTAAAAAATTTATTACATAAATTTATTTTACTTTGTTCCAGTTAATTTATACACAACCATACACATATTTTATGCCTTGCCTGCTATCTGTGATCAATGAACTGCTGAACAAGGTTCTCTCTGTTGTAACTTTGATCAATTGATGGGAAATACCATCTTGGAAAAGATCCTTTAAGGTGGTATTTACCTCTACTGGCTAGCATTTGCTCATCTGGGTCAGAATGCTCACAAACATCAAGACTAGTTTGACGAAAATGATGGGGAAATTCAGAAGCTGCTAAATGAAAAATGAGAATTCCACAGTTTACCAGCAGAATAGTTCATCCATCTCTAAGATGGCTACATTTATTTCCACCAAAAGTAAAGTACAAGCAAAGCTTAGTGAAATGCAGGATTCTTGGCTCAGTAAGAAGGCAGATGAAATTCGGTTTTAAGCTGATAATAACAATCCAAAGTGCTATTATGATGCCCTGAAGGCTATTTATGGGCCAAAGATTTATGGTACTACTACTCAGTGCTGATGGAGCCACACTGATTAGTGAGAAGAACATGATCCTAGAGAACTGAACACATCCTTAGTGTTCTCAACAGACCATTATCAATCAATACTGACACCACTGACCATTTACCTCAGGTAGACGTCCCTCCCTAGCTAAAGTTCCAACTGAAGGAGAGGTTTTGAACGCCATTAGGTTCCTTTCATGTGGCAAAGCAACTGGTGTTGATTCAATTCTGGCTGAGATTTAACAGTGTGTGTGTGGAGGGGGGCAGTTCACTGATCATAAAAAAGCTGACTGAAATTTTCCAACTTATATGGCAAAAGGAGGTTATCCCCTCAGGAGTTCAAGGACACCTCCAATACCCATCTATATAAAGGTAGAGGAAATATATTGTCCTGTGACAATGGTGGGGAGGAGTGGAGTCTCTCTCTTAGTTATTGCTGGCAAGATTCTTGCCAGAGTCCTCCTTAATAGGCTGATCCTTTACCTGGAAGATGAGTATCTACTTGATAGCCAGTGTGGCTTCAGACAGGGCTGAGGAATGGTTGATATGGTGTTTGCTGCCCAAAAACTTCAGGAAAAATACTAGGAGCAGAACAGAGGTCTGTACACAACATTTGTAAATCTGATCTAGGCCTCTGCCAGTTGTGAAGGCTTATGGAAAACTATGTCAAAACGTGGTTGCCCTGAGAAGTTAATCAGTATTGTATGTCAATTTCACAATGTATGTTTGCCTGAGTTCTGGATAATGGATGATGCTCTCATACTTTTCCAGTTAGCAATGGAGTGAAACAAGGCTGTGTGCTTGCTCCCATGCTTTTTAGCATGACGTTTTCAGCTGTTTTGTCAAACACCTGCAATGAGGACAAACACGGCATCAAGATCAGCTACCCCACTGATGGTAAATTCTTCAACTTGAAAAGGCTATAGCCAAGACTAAAGTGGAGGGAGTGTTAGTCATTTTTTTGTTTGTAGATAATAGTGCACTCAAAGCAACCTCTGAAGCTGACATGCAACAAAGTATGGATCAATTCTCTGCTGCTTGTGCTAATTCTGGCCTCATAATTAACCAAGAAAACACAGATGCTCCATCAGCCACCACCACACCATCCATACGTGGAACCATCGTTACAGCAAATAGATACATTTTGAATATTGTGGATAAGTTTACTTACCTTTGCAGTATACTTTCCAGGGATGTACACACTGATAACGAGGTTAACAAACTTGCTGCCAGAGCTAGCTCAGTATTTGGGAGGCTCCGAATGAAAGTGTGGGAGAGAAGAGGTTTTAGACTGACTACCAAACAGAAGGGCTACAAAACCATTGTGCTGACCTCATTGCTGTATGCCTGTGAAACCTGGACAGTATACCAGTACAATGCCAGGACACCAAATTGCTTCCATTTGAATTGTCTTAGGAAGATTCTGAAGATCACCCAACAGAACAAGACATCAAACACTGGGGTCCTTCCTCAAATTAAACTGCCAAGCATTCAGACTCTACTGCAGAAACAGCAACTCCAATGGGCTGGCCACATTGTTTGAATGCCTAATGCATGCTTACCAAAAAGACTATTTTATGGAGAACACACACAGGGGAAGCACTCACATGGTGGTCAGAAAAAGGGATACAAGGATACTCTCAAGGTCTCTCTTAAGAACTTTGGAATCATGTGACATGGGAGACAATGGCACAGGACCTCCCAGTACAGTGGTTCTTCATCAGAGAAGGTGCTGTGCTTTATGAACAAAGCAGAACGGAAGCAGCTCAAAAGAAACAAGATGCACAAAGTAGAGAATCAACTCCAAATGTTCACACGGACTATTTTTGCCTGACCTGTGTTAGAGCATTCTAAGCTCCTATCAGTCTGATCAGCCATCGTCGACATACTGTAACTTGATTCTAACGCAGTGATGTCATTTTGGTCCTCTTCAAGAACAAAGGACAACAACCAGCTAACCATAATCTAACTTAATGCACAAAAATGCTATTTCCTTTAAAAGAAATCAGATCACAAACTTACAAAGGTGGTAAAATTATTTTAAACTCCTGAAGACACTATCTATTAATGCCTTGAGTTCTAATAAATGTTGTCTTTCAGATGTATCTTCCTCCATATGCTTTCATGCATGCATCATTAGTCTTATCTCATCTGGGCAGCTAAATTGCATAATTTTGTCTTAAACCTTTCTCCTGATCAATATCCAGTTTCCAGAACTATGTACTCCAAGATATTTTGCTTTCCATGCTTCTGATTTCATTAAAACCTACTAAATGTCTCCAATGATACTTTGGGATCCACTGGATTGAAAAGGGAATGAATTCTCCAGCTGTGCAGCCATGAGAACTTCTTATTTTCTTATTTATGCGTCACAATACAGCCTCAGAGAGCATGAGTTTCTTAAGAATGACATCTCAGGCTGCTGACATAGTAAAACTTGTAGCCCACCCAAACCACTAGATCTTTTCCAGATAAACTGATGTCTAGCCATGCCTCCCCTATCTTGTACTGTGACTTTTTGAAATGTAAGGCTTTACATTTATCCCTATTAAAGTTCATAGTACTCAGCCAAAAGTTCTAGTCTGTCAAGATATTGTTAGTAATACTTTCCAACTTCTTGTCATCTTCAAATCTGACAAGCATTCCACCTATGCCTTTGTTGTTATTCAGTTGTTTTTTTAATAGTTTCTGCTTCTTTGTGCCCCTATTTGGGGTTTTCTTGGTCAAGATGCTGGAGTATCAAAATACTGAAGTAGTTTGTCATTTCCTTCTCCAGTTTATTTTACAGATGAGGAAACTGAGGCAAACAGAGTTAACTTCTGCATTGTCACACAGCTAGTGTCTCAGGCCACATTTGAACTCAGGCCCAGTGCTCTATACACCTCACCATCTAGATACTCCTCCACTGCCTTTATCCAAGTCAATGATAAAAATGTTAAACGGCACAAGAACACTGCATTGACATCAATCCATTAACGACTACTCTTTCAATCTGGCCACTCAAGCAGTTCCAAAGACTGAGAAATCAATCTACTTTGGACATTAGGCTTAGGAATCAAGAATATGTGGATTCAAATTTCACCTCAGAAACTTGTCTTCAGCAACTAGTACAGTGCCTAGCACACAGCAGGTGTTTCATAAATGCCTGTTGATTGTATGGCTTTACCTGTTTGTAGCTCCTAACATTTGCTTATCTCTAAAATGAGGGTGCTTGACTCAGTGGCCATTATAAACCTCCACAGGTTATTTTCTTTCTTTCTAGTAAGGGCAATTCATTATGGAGAAGCCAATGGCCACACAATGAATTCTAAGATATCTTCCAGCTCTAAA